ACTTTCCCACATTCCCCTTTGTCTCTCTCTTTCTCTCCGCCACTCTCCATACCTCCATCTCCACTTCTCTCTCGCTCTCTCTTCTAACTCTCCTCTCCGACTCTCAATTCCTGTTTCCTCTACGTCTCCCTCTCCTTATTTTCCTTCTCCCTCCGTTTCTGTCTCTCCCCCTGTCACTCTCCCTCCCCATCAACTTCTCTCTCTCCCTTCCTTTCAATTTCTCCGGCTCCCTCACCTTTTGTTTTTCCCTCCTTTTCTGTCTCTCGCTCTTCATCCTTCTCTCAGTCTCCCTCTCCCTAGCTTCCCCCTCTTACCTTCCCTCTCCCTAGCTTCCCCCTCTCACGTTCCCTCTTTCTCCCTCTCCCTAGCTTCCCCCTCTCACTTTCCCTCTTTTTCCCCCTCCCTCTCCCTAGCTTCCCCCTCTCACTTTCCCTCTCCTTCCCACTCCCTCTCCCTCTCCCTAGCTCCTCCCCCTCCCCCCCATGCACCAACGACTGCCAGTCCCTCACTTCATCAAGCCGGGACTCAACCCAGCGTAACGTAAAGAGGTAATCGCGTCGGAAGCCATGTGTGTTAAAAAGCGCACTCGTCTCTTCTTTAATAAACGCTCGTGCACAGTTTTCATTTACTCCTCGTTATGCGTTTAAGTATTTTTAATTTTTCTTCTTCTCTCTCCGTTAAACAAACCGGCGGTAAAGAGAAAGAGAAATAGAGAGATAGAGAGAAGAAGGAGAAAGGAGTCTTTTGTTAGTTTTCGCAGCATCGCCTCCTTAGCGAGATATTCCCGAGTGGGGACTGGGGTCTTCTGTGTGCTAAGAGGAGGGACTTGGAATGGGGGGGGGGGATTGGGAATGGAGGAGGGACTTAAGGAACTCGGGACGTGGGATGGGCGAGGGGGCAGAAGCTGGGAGGGTGTGGAGGGATAACACTCATTTGCATACGGGCCGGAATTTTTGGAATATTCCTGTAATCTTTCATGCATCTGCAAGTGGTGGTTTCCTGCTCGTCTTTCTGTTGCGGTTTGGCTGGCTGTAGGAGGAGGGGGGGGAGTTGTCTAGAGGAATTCGAATTTGAATTTTTGTCTATATTATGGATAATATGACATTAATGATGATGTTGATATATGCGTATTATATATATATATATATATATATATATATATATATATATATATATATATATATATATATATATATATATATATATATATTTATATGTATGTATATATATATATATATATATATATATATATATATATATATATATATATATATATATATATATATTTATATATTTATATATATATATATACATATATATATATACATATATATATATACATATATATATATATATATATATATATATATATATATATATATATATATATATATATATATATATGTATATATATATATATATATATATATATATATATATATATATATATGTATGTATATATATATATGTATATATATATTTACCCATCCTGACTGCCAAGTTAAGAACGTAGGATCAACCTCACGATGGTTATGTCACCGTATAATGGAACACAAGTCACTTCGTACCGGATTTCCGCTGAATTGACCATCTTTCTCGGCCATAAGAGAGCTCTCTCACAAACACGGCATCCTTTATCGAACACAGATTTCAATATTCTGTCCTCCCACTCCTCCGGCCAAGACCTCATTACCTCGGAGTCGTTGTTGATTCGAAAGATGAAACCCAGGCTAAACAACACCACTGCCTCAGCCACCTTATTTACTAACTAGCTGCCTTTCCCTTGATTATCACTCACATTGGTTAGTTTTTTTACAGTAATCATATTTTTCATTGTTTATATTCATATCATGCCGTTATTGTTTGTTCACATTTTGTTTTTATTATTTTGTAACTGTTATAGTTCTATTACTTTTTACGTACCGTTGTAAATTTAGAAAACCAATTAAATTTACTATTGATGATCGAAATTTTATATATCATCGAAACGTTTGATAATAAACATGAAACTATCATTTTGTGTGCCTGTGTGAGTCTACCTCTTCGTTCTAACTGTTCGACGCATAAGTGGGAAACCTGTAACGATATATATATATATGTGTGTGTGTGTGTGTGTGCGCGCGCACATACACAAACGCCCACACATACATGTATGAGGCCTCGGTGCCTAAGCGGTTAGAGCATCGGACTCAAAGACTGTCTCTATAATCTGAGAGTTCGAGTCACCGGCCGGCGCTTTGTTCCCCTGGGCAAGGAACTTCACCTCGATTGCCTACAGGTAACCTGATCAAGGATACGTGAGGCCACGGTTAGCAGGTGGTGGACGGATTTCAAGTAAGAGCAGAGAGTGCACTCACTGGTTGAACAGTGCGATGCTGAGCCGAAGAACCACGTCATGGTCAATATTCAAGGGTCACCGGTCTAGTATAGCTACTGAAGAAAGCAACAGGAACCTACTTCAGTACCTCTCCCTAGTTCAGTCAATGGTCAGATCTCAAAGGAACACTCGGATCAACGTGAACAGCGTTGTGCCTGGTCACGAGAAACATACAGGTTGCCAATATGTATGTATGTATATTTAATATATACCTACACACACACACACACACACACACACACACACACACACACATATATAGATAGATAGGTTTGTGTGTGTGTATTTTTATGTATCTGTACACATACGTCTCTTTCTCTTTCTATATATATATATAGAGAGAGATAGACAGATAAATAAATATTCATGTCTGTGTGTGTGTGTGTGTGTGTGTGTGTGCGTGTGCGAGCGCGCACAAATATGCACATACACACATGCATCGTAATAGTCTCTTAAATATTAGAAGGAATTTCATTAACTGGCTTTTAGTTTCAATTTGCAAAGTTTATAAGAAGTTTTCTCCAAAAGACACACTTTGAACTTACAAACCTCTTTAAACATTGAGGAAGAGAGAGAGAGGTAAAGGCAGAGGGAGGAATAGGGAGAGAGAGATAGACAGACAGATAGATAGATAGAAAGACAGACAGAAAGACAGAGTCAGACAGACAGATAAACCGACAGAGAGCCTGACAGATAGACAGACATACAGAAAGACTGACAGACAGTGAGAGATATATATGTTTATACAGAAATATAAACAGACAGGCAGTCAGACAGACTGACAGATATAGAGAAAGACAGAAGACAAACAAACAGCAAGACAGATAGACAGACAGACAAACAGACAGACAGATAGACATAGAAAACAGATAGACAGACAGAAATACAAACAGACAGACAGTCAGACAGACTGACAGATAGAAAGACAGACATGCAGACAGATAGACAAAGAGACAGACAAACAGACTGACAGATAGAAAGAAAGTCAGACAGACAAATATTCAGACAGACAGAGACAGAAAGATAGAGAGAAAGAAAAAGAGAGAGTTAGTAAATAAATGGCTGAGGGAAAGAGAGAGGGAGGGATACATATAGAGAAAGAAAGAAAAACAAAAAAAACGAGGGTAAGGGAAAGATATAGGACCGAAAGAGAAAGAGAGAGGGATGAAGATAAAGGAAAAAAAAAAGA